CAAAACACTGATACCTGAGAGTCCCTTCTAAAGTATAACCCCCCTCTTTTTCTTTTCCTTGTGTCAATTAGTGGAAATCCTTAGGGAATTTGTGGTTCCTCCCATTGTTTCTTTCATCTCTCAGTATCAGCAGACCCAGTTTGTTTGTGAAGACAAATCTCTCTCATTCCATTTATCAATCAGGGGAATCCTTCCCATTGTTTCTTTTATCTCTCAGTATCTAGCTCTATTTACCAGCAGATCCAGTTTGTTTGTAAAGACAAGTCCCTTATTCCTTTCACTCCAAATTCTCCTGTGGTTTTGGTCTTGAAAAGGTGAGAGCAAATGTTTGCTTTTTGAATATAATCACATTATTTATTCCAAATTATGGCGAAACTCTGTTCGGTTATTATGGACAGAATGTTCTCCGTAAATTCATCAATGCAACTTGAATGTGACCACAGTTCCACAAATCCTGAATTGTTTTTTTCTCCTTTCCTTGGCAGAAATGAAAGAATGTTTTAATGTTGTCTTGTGAAAGGAAGCTGAAACTACTTCATGGTTTCAATTTACCCACAGGAAGATACTGTAACTGGAAGGCAGGTGCAATGTAACAGAGTCAGGATGCTCTGGACGCTGTGACCAAGGGCAAATAACAAGTTGCTGTTGTCAGGTGGGTAACAGAAAAAGGATAAATTGGCATGGGTACGGTTATTGTACTAGAATAAGAGAGTCAAATAATTTCTTTAGTGTTATTCATCTAAATTTAGCATAGTATCTATGAAACAAGGCAAAGCTATGATTATAAAATTCTTATAAAGTTACACACCTTTAATGAAACATCAGCTGGCAGCAGTGCCCAGTAAATGCTCCTATAAAGGCATTTTTTAGTCATCCTGGATTTTCTGTAGTGTTGAAAAAGCATGGGAAAGAAATGAGAACAAGTGTGCTACCTTCATAAGACCCAATATTGGAATCACGAAAAGCTTCTGTGGCTCTTCAGCTATTGTGGATAGAAGACACCCTGAAAGCTTTGAATTCAGGCTTGTGAACGTCAAGCTTGATTCCAGTATGTGCTCTGGTATGTGTGGAGTGATTTCTATGCAAATCATGGCAGCTGGAGAGAAGACAGCAGACCTTTGGTTTGCTGACTGCTGCAGGAGGTACAAGCTTTAAAGGTTTACAATGTCCATATCATGTCCCCAGAGTACACTGGAGTTTGTGACAAGTTCTTTATGAATGTACGTGACAGAAGCTCTGCAGCCTGTGCCAGTTTAAGCATTTCGAGTTATCTTAAGGCAGTTGTACAGGTCAGATTGTGTTTTTGATGTTATTTTATTCCGTGAACTTGATCTCATTACTTCGTGTGGTTCAAAGGTTACTAAAAGTCATTTCTTTCCATTCTTGATGTTAACAGAAAAATGAAGAATAATTACAAGTTGTTTTTTTTTTTTTCTTCCTTACTTTTCCCACGTATTCTGGGTTTGGTTTTTTTTTCCAGTGATTTTTTTCTCCCATCTGCTACCTGGAAGCAGGACAATGTGTGGAGGTCCCATGGGGATCCATGGGGCATGAAGAGATCCACCACAGACCATGGGGATTACAGAGATCCATGGGGATTGCAGAGATCCATGGGGATTACAGAGATCCATGGGGATTACAGAGATCCATGGGGGACACAGAGATCCATGGGGACACAGAGATCCATGGGGACACAGAGATCCAGCCCATGGGGAAGGTGCCCACGCTGGGGCAGGTGGATGCCTGGAGCAGGCTCTGATCCAGTGGCAGAGCCAGGGGAGAGAGGGCTCTGCTCCCAGGCTGGAGCAGCCTGTCCTTGGAGGGCTGCAGCCCATGGAAAGAGAGAGCCCCGTGCCAGCAGTCTGGGAGGGCTGTGTGCCCCTGGGAGGGACTCAGGGTGCTGCAGGTGTGCTTTGGCTGCTGCTCCTGGGATGGAGCCAAGCTGGAGAAGTTCATGGAGAACTCTCCCGTGTCTTTAATGATTCTCCCAGAATCATTAAAGTTGGAAAAGGCCTCCGAGATCCAACCTTTGACCAAAACACAATGTTGCCAAGCAGTCTAGAACACTGAGTGCCATATCCAGTACCTTCAGCGCCTCCAGGGATGGGGACTCCACCGTCTACCTGGGCAGCCCCTGCCAATATCTGACAGTCCTTTCAGTGAAGGAATTCCTCCTGATCTCCACCCTGAGCCTCCCCTGCCCAGCCTGAGACCGTTCCCTCTCCTCCTGTCCCTGTTCCCTGCAGCAGATCCCAAATCCCCCCGGCTGTCCCCTCCTGTCAGGGAGTTGTGCAGAGCCACAAGGGCCCCCCTGAGCCTCCTTTTCTCCAGGCTGAGCCCCTGCCCAGCTGCCTCAGCTGCTCCTCATAGGACTTACTCTGTAGACCCCTCCTCAGTTCTGCTGCCCTTCTCTGGACAGGCTCCAGCACCAAAATATCTCTCTTGCTGTGAAGGGCCCAGAACTGGATGCAGCACTCGAGGTTCAGCCTCACCAGTGCCCAGCACAGAGGGACAATCATTGCCCTGGGCCAGCTACACTGTTTTTGATAGAAGCCAGGTGCCATTGGCTGCCTGGGCACTCCTGGGCTCAGGTTCAGCTGCTGCTGACCAGCATCCCAACCACTCTTCCCCCAGCCTGTAGCACTGCATGGGTTTGTGACTCAAAAATAGGACCTGGCTCTTGTCCCTGCTGTCCTCAGCCCATGGATCCAGCCTGTCCAGATCCCTCTGCAGAGCCTTCCTGCCCTCAGCAGATCCACACCGACAAAACACAACTTGGTGGTGCCTTGGAACTGCCTGAGGGTGTACTGGATCCTCTCATCAAAATAAAGGATGCTTGGAGCAGGATGCTCTGCCCTGGAATGTGGTCAAGCAGCTCCGACAATGCCTATTTACAAGGCTATCAGTGGTGGATTGAGAGGGGCTCTTGTGCTGCTTTTGGTGTTGAATTGACCTAAAACCAGCATTACTCATCAATCCTAAATTAATATCCTGACAGTGAGGCAAAGACTTGGCAGACAAGCTGCTAAGCTACCTGGAGACAGATTAGTGGCAGTCAATCACTTTACACTATGGAAGTTCAGTCCCACTTCCAAATGGCAGCTTCTTCTAACCCACCCCTCCTTGGAGTGTGTATGGAGATTCCTCCTTTGGGTGGAGACACCCCTCAGAATTACTCCTCAAGACTGAACAGGATTTGCCCCCAGGCCTGGGTGAGTTTTATGGGTGAGTTATATCAATCTCTACTTAAGAATTTGGTTTTTTGATAGTTTTGATACTATTGCTTTAATATAACTGCTTTGATATTGTGTACTATCCTATCCTATGCTACACTGTATTAGTAGTTTTAGCTTCTATACTATGCAGTAATTAATTCTGATTTAGATCTTTTGTCTAATGATTTATCATAATAAATAATTAGTTTTATATATCTAATTTGCCATCCTTAATTCTGCAGAACAAAGTTGTACAAATGTTCAATCACGCCTCTATAAGTCCTCAGACTTAAGTTGCTGGCAGTTTGGGACTGAGACTGGATCCAGCTGCCCCCAGGCTCCTTTCTGGGGAGTTTAAAAACCTTTCTGCATCTCATGACTCATTGGGAGCTTCTCTAATAAACTTTATCTGAAGTTTCCACTCCACCTATGACAATATTAAACAGGAGTGGCCCCAATACTGAGCCTTAGAGAACCCCACTAATTACCAGCTGCTGACTGGATTTAACTCCATTCACCACCACTCCCTTGGCCCAGCCATCCAGCCAGTTTTTAACCCAGTGAAGATGTCCAAGCCATGAGCTGCCAGCTTCTCCAGGACAATGTTTTGAGACACAGCACCAAAAGCCTTGCTGAAGTCTTGGTTGTGGATATCACATCCACAGCCCTTCCCTCTTCTGAGAGGTGGGTCCTCTGGTCATAAAAGATCAGGTTTGTCAAGCAGGACCTGCCTTTCCTAAATCCATGCTGGCTGGGCCTGATCCCTTGCTTGTCCTGTATGTGCCATGTGATGATGGTACTCAATAAGATTTATAACAGTGTCATCAATCATTAAATGGTCTTAAGACTAAAACCTTCAGCTTCCAGAATGCTGAGTTGTTTATAAAAGGATACATTTAGAAGATGTAAACATCATCTAGACTGAGTACAGCTATTAAAAATGAGAGCAGGAAAATGCATGTGAAATCAGTCAAGGGCTGCAATATCAAGATAGTATCTGATCTCCTGTGATCTTAACACCTTTGCAAATCTTTGACTTTTTTTTGATTGCAATGGATGTTGTGCTTTTACTTAGATGAAAAAGCACTCACTGTTACACTGTACCTGCATCTGCTGACTCTTGCATTGACACTGGCCCAACACCAACTGACACTCAGTAAAGCCCTTCTGCCATCTCTTGAAAAAGCTGATCAGCACTGAGGTGACAGACAGCTCCACCCACCTGGCTGCAGCTGAGAAAGAAATCATGGAAGCAAATAATGGCAAAGAATAAAGAGTAAACAATATAGTACATTTCACTATAGCACATTCTTGTATAATTAAGAAATCTAAATGTAGATACATCTACAGCTGAACCCTAATTAACTGGTTATCTTATCTTTTTCTCCAGAGAGTGAAAGGTAACTTAGAGAACCACAGAATATTCTGAGTTAGGAGGAACCCACAAGGATCACTGAGTCCAGTTCCTGGCCCTGCACACACCCTCTCTGAGTTCTTCCTTCTAGCTAGCTTTTGAGACATTGGATTTTGCTTTGATTAGGTAGTGGTAATCCTGCTACGCAATTTAGCTCCTAAAATTATCAACTTTGTTAGTAATTTTAGCAGGACTTTTCTGTTGGTTTTTATTTTTCCTTTTTGTCTAAATGTTGCATGTTTTAATAAAAAAACATATTTTTAAAAATATATCTATTTATAGGTGTAATGCTAGCCTTTTGTGGTTTTTTCGTCCTAAAATCAGTGGTCAGCAATAAGCATTATATTGTGTACTTTCTGCACACAGAAATATGCTAAAATCCAAGTGGTTTAATGCAAGATGAAAAACATACAGAGCATAAGATTTATGTTTCATCTGAAAGAGATTTACAGGAAAACCAATTATTTCAGCTGTTAATAAAGGAGAGAATCAACTTCTTTCCTGTTGGAAGGAACTGGAGGGAAGCACCTGTCTAATCAATTCTATTTGAACAACACTTGGCACACTTGTTAACTTTTGTTATCTGAAACTCTCCTAGTATTTTACTCTTCAAGTATGTCAAAAGGGGTCATATGTATTTAAAATTTGTTCATACTTATTTTAAATATCCTATAACAGGATTTTTGTTATGCTAAAAAAGTCTGAGCCACAGAAGGACTTTGTCATCCATGGGACATAGCTTTTTCTCAGTTTTCTTCCTGTGGAAACTGAGTATGGAGAATCACCCAGGGATTTGATTAAATGTAAGTTCATTTAAAGTTTAATGTCATATTTTAATGATACACAAATGGCAAAGTAAGTGTAGCATTTCTGAAAAAAGCCTTAAGAGTGTCACTGTCAAGATGAACCATGTATTAAAACTTACTCTAAAATGAGAAAATGGGCATGAATGGTGTATGAAAAGTACAGTTCTAAGACATTCCCAGGTCACTTCAGTGGAAGAACACTTAGGCCAATATTGAGAGTTTTGAAAATCATGCTTCTGTTTCTAAGATTACTTCCAATACAACAGCTTTTCCTTGTGAAGCTGCTTATTTTTACAAACTCTTAAAACATACTCAAAAGGGCAAATGAAATCAGATGAGGATAATATATTATAAGTATTAAATCAGTTCTGAAGTTGTATTTGCATATTCAGAGATACTTATATTAAAAAATATGATGTGAAAGGCTTCATTTTCCAAGCCTGCCTTTAGAAACATGAAAAGCTGTGGCTATGGCCATGTTTGATGCTCTTCCAGAGTCTGCTCAGCTGCAGATTGGAGCTCGTGTGGAAACGAGAGAAGTGTGTGTGCCTGTCTTATCTGAAGAGATATTTCAGACCTTATATTTCAAATCAGATTTTTTTTCAAATTCAAGCAAGACAGAGAACAGGACTGGTTTAATGATAGACCACCCCCATGACAATTTCAAATATTAATGAAGTTATTTAAGACCTTGCTTGAAAAGAGTTTCTGGTTCTTATGTTGAGGCATGGAGTCCTAAAATAACCAAGTTGAAAAAGTCAGGACAATGAAAGGATTCGAAGGTGTAGCTCTTGTTAAGAGTCTGGGCAGAGACCAAAAGATAGTGTGTTGTTACAGAGCAGTTCTGTTAATCAGTGCCTTAAAGACCACAGCATGCCGAAGTTTTATCTTCATGACCCAGTAAGGTTGGTGCACTCGTTTTAGTGCTATAAAGGAAAGTAATTAAAGTACATCTTAAAATGTCACTTGCATAGATACGACTCAGCTACTTTGGTGGTTTCCCATAATCAGGGTAGTATCTGAGAGCACTGAGGTTCTGCCAGTGCTTTGAAAGTCCGTCGATTTTTAAACTTTGCACTGTACTGCAGAATCTGGCTTTGAAAGCTGTACATCTACCTGTCCCTGAATGTCATGTGCTGTCCCCACCCTCTCCTAAATAAAGCTATTCTGCTGGGTCATGGCCTTAACCCTGAAGAAAATTACTGCAGGAACCTTTCCAGACACAAACATTATATATTTCTTTTAGTATTTTAACTAGGTTTTCTGCTCTTTTTGTTAATTTTGATCAAAGCCAATGAAATTCTTCATTATTTCTAATACTACAGAACTATGATAGTTACATGTTTTTTTGTATTGTTACATTTTTTGGTACCATTTACATTTCATTATAAAAATTAAGCAAAACCAAAAAGATGATCCAGCAAGTTATATGTAAATCCAAAATAAAGTCACATCATAGTAATACATACTACAACAAAGTTAATGTGCAATATTGTGAAAAATCAACAAATGTGAATGCTCAGACAAATACATGTCAATAATTTAAAGGCATATAAAATAACCACTGCTTCAGAGAATACTTTGGGTGGCTTTTGAAGCCACTGAATCTGAAGCAGGATAAATAAAACAGTCTGGAGGAGAGCTGCATCCTGTCCTGGCAGTGCCAGGAGCTTCCCAACACCTCCAGGGATCCTGTAAATCTGCACAGGGGACAGTTGTGCATTCAGGCACAGCAGCTGTCAGGAGGATGTTTCAGTCTTGTCTGCTCCACGGTCAAATTCTTCTCTGTCCTTGAGATGACAAGATTTTCGGCACGTGATCTAGAAGTCATCTTCCTCATGAGAAAAAGTACAAGACACACTTTTTTTCAGCTTGGATCATATTCCATCTGGCGTTTTAGGGGGAATTTACCAAAATATGTCCTTTTCATTTTAACGAGCACTGTCTTGCTGCTCACTTGTTTTGTGGCATCTGTGCTAAACACCAAGCTTACCAGCTACTTATCCTGTTAACTACTCACTTGTCTGCACATGTTAACTTAAAGCTGGGTCACATTTTGTCTTAAGAAGGAATAGCCTTTTCTTCAAGTAGCAAAGTAATATTTTAGGCTAGATTTACATTATTCACAGTACAAATAGAGAATATGCTGTTGTCATTTCGATGACCTTACAAATACAGTGATATTGAAGACAGTAAACATTCCAATACACCTTGTTTTGCTGAAAAAGTAAAATTCAGGCACCAAGCTCTCTTTATTGGATGGGATGCAGATTCTTCTCATTGACATTCTTGCTCAATTTCATTTTTAGTAGGGGATGAAGTTTTTACATCACAATAGCTAAAATCATGTCCATAAACTAGGTCCTTCTGAGAGTATGGCTCATGAACTGTGACAGCACTCCACATGTTGTTCTTCCTCAGGGATTTATGCAAGAGTTCTCTCATTCTCCTGTTTTCTTTGGCTGTGGATTCCCACATGATTTCAAGTTCTCCTTCTGTTTTCCTAGGAAAAAAAAAGAAGAGAAATCCTAACTTTAACAATGTTTCAGCAGCACAGAATTGCAGTAGGTGGATAAGCAAATTAGAAATGGCCTGTATTCAGGTGCTTACAATTATCTGATTGAAATTCATTCCTATTTTGCTTTTGGAAAAGCTCATTAAATGTAATGCTAAATAGGATATGACCATAAAATTACCCATTACTGGATCCATGTAACAAGTTGGATTAAGTCTGCACACAGAGCAGGGCATGTGAGACCCAAACACCATGACTCCACTGGCTGGGGCTCCGTCGTGACCACAGCTCTGCTGCCCATGAACACTGCCCCTTCTGCCCACAGCTCTGCCCTCTCCACTCTCACACACAAAGGGTCTGATCAGTGTCAGACTCTGTGCTCAGCTAATGCATCGTTGGGGGAGCCAAACAACACTGATGTAAACTTAGAAAGCAGACAAAGCTCAGGAGCTCAGGTTTCCTTTGACTCCTAATGTATGTTGACTCCAAAATACAAAATAATAAGGAAATGAAAATGGAAAATGAGCACACATTTTAATTCTATAGACTAATAGAGTCCCCTTGAGGGCTGCCTGAAGCATTGAATAGAGCCTTCTATACACATTGTCCCCAATACCAGACTCTAAAAATGAGAAACTAATCAATGCAGAACATAAAAGTGTTGAGATTAAATGCTGTCAGTCTACACTGTGGGCAAAAGGTGTACACTGGAAAATTCAGAATCAGCACATCTTAGAGAATCCTTTGTGGTTGATAAAACAGAGAATGAAGTGATGAAAAATGGCCCAGACTTTTTGTTTACCAGCCCACTTTGTTTTACACCTTATGACTGGATATATAGATGGAAGATAAAAAAACCTTACAGAGAAGGGCTTAAGATAATTCTTGTACATACTGTTTGGAATGAACTTTTGTAGTGGAGAAGATCAGTAACCACTGAGAATGGAATTAAAGCAAAAGGTGGCAGGAGAAAGCAGTACAGTTAGCTAAGAGTTCAAGACTTTGCCCAACAATGTGAGCAGTCACAGTTAATGAGTTGGACCTTCCCATTTTTGCCAAGTCACTAATAAGCCATTAGGAAATAACCTCTCATTTTTGAAACACCAAAACAGTATATGACTTTGTTCTTACAAAGTATACTTCTTGAGATGAGATGAGATAAAATTGTCTAATCCTACCAGTGCTCAGAATATGCTTCTAAATGCTTTACACAATGGTATTTACCATTACCCTCAGCCTACATTTGGGGGAGATGGGAGGCACACACATCTCATGACTGAACAGCTGGCAGTCCTGAGTTTCACTCATTGTCTCACCTCTGTATTGTGATCTTGGAATATTTTCAGCATCTTGTTTTTAAGTGAACTTGTGTATCATGATAGGGACATGTCCCTGTTCTGTTGTCCCTTGTCTCCAATAGGAGACTTCAGACACTGTGCACAGCACTCTTATGTTTGACAATTAATACAGGAGAGCTTAATCTGGTTTATCATTACTGTAGTACAGATCATTACCCAGGGTTTATTTCATCCACTAATTTCTGAAATTGAGACTTCTTTGGTTTTTTAAGGTTGTTTCTTTGATAATGCTTGCATGAGCCTAAGGCATAGAATATTTGAAGTAAGATTATGAAACTAAAGCAAGTTCTGAATTATACTTTATGCTGTCAGTGTGCCTGACAAATAGGATTGCCATTTTCAGTCCATAAGTTCAGTTTAATGGCAACTGCATTGATTTTAGAAAAAAAAAATAGTTCAAAGACGTTAGTTTAGAAGTGTCCTCATGGTTAAAATTACTTCAGTAGCAAGAAAAGAGCTGCTTTTAGGGGTTTATCTGAACTCTTCTTGGAGAGCTGAGACATGCAGAGTGCTGAGTGACTTGGCTTTGGAATGAGCACTCAGAGCACACTGCAGTCACAGGTAAGGCTTTTTTTTTCCCTGTGGCACAATGTACAGCTCCACAGCTCTGCTGCTTCCCAGCTGAGCATCTGACAAGAAGCAGTAGCATCCCACGTGGGGATTTTGTTTGAAAATTCTGACCTGGCTGAAATTTAAACATGCATTCAGCAGAATGGGTTGGGGAGAGAGTGTCTTCATTCTTGCTGGTCACAACCTCCCTTCCCTTAAGGAATTTGGGTTACAGAGCAGCTTGGTTACTACAGCTGCTGATGCTCTGTACATTTTTCTCAACACCAACATTTCCTTGCCTCTACAGGTGGTTTGCATCTTAAAACACAAGGCTTTGCCACTTGGCATTCAAAACTAGATACATATGCTATTTCCAGGTGTCTTTAGACAAAAGGCATTAAATTCGTTTCTTATTAATGTAGGCTATTATTAATTAGGTAAAAAAAATTATTCAACCCCTAGCCTAGCCAAAATGTAGGATTTTATAACTTGGTCAGAGTAAGCAAAATGCCAGTGCCCCACTGATGTTTGAGGATGAAAAAATTACTAGAAGTAGGTTCTGAAAGCAGTTTCTTCTTTAAAAAAGACAATTTTCTGCCCTCATTGAACTAAATTCAGTCAGCCTTAATCTCAGAATTTTATTTGGGCTGGCTCAAGAATTCATTTTATCTATCCTATAACAGTTTATTTAAATATTCCTTATCACAAAGGTCAACAGCTTTTATTAGGGTTATAATTTTATATATATTTATATATCACCAGAGGTAAGACAGCTCCTCTCCCTTGCCTATGCACAAGTGCAAAGCTTTTCTGCTGTTGACCCTCTTCCAAGGACAGTTTAATGCACTTTCAAACTTACATTCTGCATCCAAAGCACAGCAGCTGTAACTGCCTTGAGGTATTGTTTCTCTGCAGAAGTCATACGAAATCAACTCTGACCTAAAAAACTCATAAAGGTAAGTGGCCTGTCAAATGAGACTGGAAACATTTATGAACGTTTTTTTTTACCCTAAGATCATATCATGAACTTTGTTTATATCTCAAACCTCTTATTTAAGGTGATTTATGTGATGTTGATATCTCTTATCACTCAGTGACTAATAAAGATGTCGTTATCAGCTGCCTGGGGAACAAAATGCTATTGCTTTCTCATGGTTGCTTTAGGTGGAAGATTGCTGTGAATTTGTAATATTTTCTAGCAAAGGCTCTAACTACTGAGAAGGTTCTACAGAGCAGCTTCCAAGGAAGGGAAATCTGCATATCTTTAAAAGCTTTTATTCATCAAAAGTACAACTACATCTATATGTGTTTCTTTTTGAAAACCAAGTAGAAAAATTCTCATGCCTTGGATGCAATGGGTGAACAGTGGAACTCCTGATTTTTGTTATGAGGTGAAAGAATGCAGGAGGGCAGAAAATTTCAAAGGTACATCATGGATGAAAGCCCATGTTAGTTTGCTCCAATTTCCTAATTCCATATTATTAAACTAAATCCAAGAGAAAAATAAATTCTATGAAATATTTTTCTGTCTTCACCTGCTTACAGTGATTCATCATACCTTCAGCTAGATTTTAAAGTAAACTGACTTTTCTGATTAAAATGTGGCATGTCACTCTCATTTACATTATCTAACAGTGAAATTAGAGAATAAATTAGAAATCAGAGAATAAATATTTATTGTATGCATTTATCTTAATGTCTGTGTAGGCAATTTGCACAGAAACATTATCAGCTAGACAGTATTCTGGACTAAAAATCTACTCTGTAAACAGAGCTAGTCACAATAAATCTAAATGTTTGCTACTTTCATAGCCCTAACGACTTCGTTTGCCAAGCTACAGATGATGAGCAACATCTGAATTACAAATTATTTAATAAATTTCCCTTCCTTACTCCTGTGACTGTGTAGAGGGAAGGGAGAGAGAAAATAATAAGCTTTGTAAAATCAGAAATACACAAAGCTGACCAAAATACATGTGTAACTTCTGGCTGATAGGCATAAAAGAGTAGATATATATTTGGATTACCTTGGGAAATTATATTGCAGTACTTGAGAAAAATAATGGAATATGAAGAAACTAGTATCAGCCATGGTGCTAGCTGGTTTTATTGATTTTGTTTCATAAGCATAAAAACTTCTTATAAAAATTTCTTACATATGTGTAAAATTCAGCTGACTTCTCAGTAACATTTTAATTTTTTAAATCTACATTTTTTTATATAGTAATCAAAGGAGAATAGTGAACCACGAGGTTAACCAAAACACTACTTGGAAGATGACTGTAAAAATTAGTTTTTACTTTCAGAGCTGGGTTCATTATATTATATTATATTCTAATATTAAGATTTAACTAGCACCAGAAAAAAAGCAGTCACCTGTTACACTGTTCAATAATGTTGGAGACTACAGAAATGAAAGTCATATCTTGATGGGGTTCATCTTGGCTTGTTTCCATAAACCACTTTTCATCATGATACAGTTAAATGGACTGCAATGGTGTAGTTCCAGATGCACATCTTGTTTCTTAAAAGGTAGCTGCAAGTATTAATTGTGTGTGTTTACTGAAGAAAAATGAATTGATTTAGACTGAGAAGGTGAAAGTGATTTAGTATTCTGTATGAAAAGTGTAATTAATTATTTTACACATCTGTGTTACATCAACTAGTTTGCCTACTTTGGGGTTTAAGGGTAAATTTTGAAGGATCCATATTATGGGACTTCAAACTATGCTCTATCCTACATTGAAAAAAAATCCTTTTTATTTAATTGCTGTTCTCTTCAGTAAAAAATTGTAACATGAACCCAGAGACATGAAAGTCATTTGCTTAGGTAAAAATCCTAAATAACTATTTCCAGAGAAATGTGGATCAGTTCAATCTGGGTTTTAATGCAAATTTCAGAGATTAATGGAATGTTCATTGTACAACTTTGCTACTTACACCTGTTTAATTGCACTGTATAAAGTAACTGAGAGGGACTGTGCTGATATAAGGTAGAAGATACCAAGCCCTGTTTTTCTATTGTCTGCTAAAATCTATTCTTTCACTATTTCACTATCTATTTATTTATGGCAGTGATGACTTGAGAAATGACTGCTTATTACTTTGCTTCAGTTGTTAACAGTTTTTCTTTTATGCTGATAATGTCAATGTGCTATGAAGCTTTCCACTATCAGAGGGAAAAATACCTTTAAACGACTATATTTAAAGGATATTTCAACACTGCAGTCATAATCTTCTATAAATCTGTTAAATTTTCTTCTCTTTATTTTGCACATAGCCAGTCTAACTCACTTATTAATAGATCTGTAAGATAGATTCAAAAGAAAACAGATCTTTGGTGTACTCATTAGATTCCCTTCATTTCCTACTGTTCTGAAAAGTGTTGAGGGGTGTGAATAGGAAAGTGTTCAACCTTTAGCAGAGATGATATTAAGATATATGAACATACATCTTGATTTATAGAATCCTTTCAAATTATCAAAGATTCACTCAGATTGATATCCTTCTCAGACTGACATCTTTCTCAAGAAGTCTTAAGAACAGCAACAGCCATATAGAATAAATTCCTCCTGAAAAAGATCTTTCCAGGAGCTGGGAATCGTGAGCAGGGTTTCAGAATTTTCAGTATAACCAAAAATGAGTGAGAAAAACGACCCAGAACACATCACAGGAGACTCTGCTGCAAAGTGAGCACTGGTGGCTGTGTGCAGCTGCCTTCCCTTGTCCCTTTAGCTGTCACACCTACCTGGATTGCTCCTGCCTGTGCCCCACTCACCTGCTTTGCTCCAGCACTTCATTGAGAGTTTCCTGTTTGTCTTGCAGCAGATGCTGCAGGTGCTTCTTTTCTTGCTCATACTGAGCAATCTTCCTTTCAAATTCTTTCTCCTGCTCACTCATCTTGAGACTGATATCTCCAAGCTTTCCAGCTGCTTTCTTTTTATATATCTGTAAGGGTTAAAGTTCATAGAAAAAAGTGGAATTACAGGACAAATAAGGACAAGTCATTAATAACAAAAGAAACAGTTAGAGATACTGATTTTCCCTTGAATCTTTACATCAGTGCTGCCTTGCATAATTATATTATGTCAGGTAGGTTGCATTATGGGATTTTTTTAACCTCTTTGTTAATTTGAAGGTATCACTTCATTTTGTTCTACAATAAAACTAGTGTGTACAATGAATACCATACTGTATGTTTGTTTTAAAGTGAACACAATTACCTGCAAAAAAAGGTTTGTTTTCCAAGATACAAAGCCACACTTTACAGCACATTGCTTACCACTTGCTGAACAGTCACACTTATCAGTACATACCATGAAAAAGTGTTTTTGTTTTGTTAGCTGTTTATTCTTAATGCTAGGAGGAAGAAAAGAACAGCTTTGTTTGCTGCTTCACACAACAGTCCTCTTGTTCAGTGAAGCACAAGTGATTTTTTGATTAATAGCTGTAATACCTAAATGGTAACTAATGACTGGTCTCATGTCAAAATTAAGAAATTATTTTTGTACAAAGTAATTTTGCTTTCTGAAATAACATCCCCATTAAATTGCATAAGCACACATGAGACTGAAAACTGCTTTGTGTACTGTTGCACATTTCTATATGTTGCTGCTCTTGACAATAACAAAATCCAATATTAACATATTTTCTCATGATTATAAATAGAATGCTGAAACTGTTATTTTCTCTGCAGACTGTGATGTTTTCTACAGGCTATAGAAAAGAGTTTTGGGATGGAAACACCTCCTTTACTAAAACTGTAAACTAATTTAGTGAAGCTGTGAAAATACTGCTATTTATGTCTTGCTAATATGAAGTTTTCTCTCAGGTGTTAATCACTAAGGCATTATTGTTATCTGAATCAGGGGAGAAAGATTTGAGTTTGTATTTTGGAGGAATTAAAATAATGACATTTTTATAAGGCTATATAATCCTTTCCACAAACTCTTTCCATTTTAGCCCTTGCAAAATGTGTAATTGTGAAATTTAATTTTCTAGAGGTAATAGATAATATTTACCTAGAATATTAGTGATTCAATATTTAAAGTTGACTTACATAGCGTTTTTATCCTAACTTTTCCCTGACAGTTCTAATGGAAGAATAAGAAGCCTGCAAGTTAACCAGTAACATCACTCAACTTTTCAGATGCCCAGAAAAGTCTTTAAAATGCAGAGTAATGTTATGGAAGGCTAAAAGTAAACAAGTTCCTTCTGAACAAAAGGTTGCTCAGAGGCAGCCTAGGGGAAATGCAGAGTATAAGGAAACAGCTGAACCTTCCCCTGTGTCAGGTGCAGGGCCTGAAATGCCCTCTGTAGGTTAGATGTCCATAATAATTTCAAAGTACAAGTGAAAACTTCCTCTCTGGTTTTTCACAGAGAAGCCTGAATTGCAGCATTGGTGAAACCTTGTTTTCTATCACGTCTCACTGACCATCCAGCTACAAGGTGGGCTGTGGTTAGAGCTGAGGTTTGTGGTTTAAGCTGCACTCTGCCTCAGATGCTTCAGGCCTCTGGCTCCTCCAGACCCCACAGCTGCCTCTGCTGGCTCTGCACTCCCACTCTGCCTTTACCAACTGAAGCTGAGTCCCATGTGCAAAATGGTTGCAAAATCAGAGAGCAAAATTGAACCATTTTCTTAGGGCCATATGATTATAGTCTGAAACTAGGTAGGATTTATAATTGTTCTGATCTTGCCTCTATGGACAGATTAGAATTAAGTCTGTGTAAAATGCAGCCTGGGCAGGTTGGGATGGTTCTGGGCACACTGCCACATGCTGTGCTGGCACTCAGAGATCCTTCACAGCAGGCTACCACCTTTGAATTGTTCAAGATAACCTATTAATGTTCTCTGAAGTGAAGCAGGTAGCAGCAAACAGACTGGTGGAGATGAGAGTTTTCAGGAAAAGGATGTTAACACATAGCTGGAAGTCATAATATTTTCCTCTAGAGCTGGATAGAGTATGCCATGCCCAAGGTCATGGCATCCCAAAAACACAGTAACAGGATGAGGAATGATCATGGATGCAGGTGCTGGTACTGCAGAGGATGTAATTTACTCTCATCTGAAGTTGTTTCAGGAAGGTATCCTCTTCATCACTATAGTTCTGTTACACCTTGTGTATTGAATTACATGCTGAAAGTTGGAGAATTCTGAATAAAGAGCCAACAAAACATTATTTCTACAAACATAGGCTGCTGGGTATGGTATGTGTAATGATCTGGTCATTTGTTGAAGTAACAAAGCTATTTTCTTTCAATTGTGTTGTTTTTCTCCCATCCTTACCCAGTAAAATTAGTAATGTCCCTTCAAAAAGACAGCAAAGTACTATCTGAAAAAAACTGTCCCATTTGTTTGTAAAAAATGCTGTAAGTCTGTTCCTCACAGAATAGCCCTGTGAGTTCTGATGACATTTTTACTGTGTGCTACAGAACACTGCCAATTTTCTCCCATAGCACCTAAAAACTTCTAAAACACTTTAATTAAGATCACTGACAATTACCTTCAGGGTTGTGTAAAAAAATCATATATGGGGGTTGGGGTAGGAAATTCCTTTTTAGTAGTAGAGGATAACAGTGCTTGTACCTATAACCTTCCCAGTACAACTGGACTGTGACTGCACAAAAAGGACAGCCTATTTATTCAGAAAGTTTGGTGAAAGTTTTGGCAGACAATATTGTGGCATTAATAGGAAATAAAATACTTCCTCTATTCTCTGTGAAAAAGATGTGGGTAAACTGTAGAAACTTTAATTCAAAGCCAACAAAACCAATGTTAATTGCTTGGGGAAAAGTTAATCTGTAGTATTATGTGCTAGAGTAAATAAGCTTCCTTTTTTGCAGATGGATATTGGCACAGAGATGAACAGTAAATAGTTGGGAAAGCAATTAAAAAAAGGAAAATATTTATATTGGAGATTCTTCAAAACTATATGTCCAAAGGCATGAGAGAATTGTTGGTACATGACCTTTGACAAAAGATCTAGTATTAAAGAGAATTTTGAAACATAAAATCAACACAAGAAAAGGAAATTGAAACATCTGTTACTTAAGCTTTGCTTTATTCATGAACACTATGAGCAGAACTTTGCAAAGTAATCCAGTACTGTGAAATAAATTTAAAATTGGAATTATCGTTTCAATTAGTAGTTTAGAGAAATCACTTTATACAGGATATTTCCTTACTCTTATCTTACTCTATTCTTTAACCTATTTTTATCTTATTCTATTTCTTTAACTTTTCTTTACTTTTATCTTAATTCTCTTCTCCTACCCTAAAGAGGGGTATAATGAAGTATTCTATTCCATACAGTACAGAACTTGCATAAATACAGCAAAAGCCTTGAGTTTCCTTTAATCTTTCCCCCATTTTTTGAAGTTGTAGGTTGAACTTGTAAAGTTTTAAAAATATCTATAAACTAGGAAGGCTAGAAACTTCTGAGGAAAGAGGGATTTTCCATGGTAATAACGTGTTTGAGAGCTGAGGAAGGATAAGGCAAAGCAAAACCCATTTTATGAGCAACACAGCAAGCAACTTAGTCTTAATGAATTTTATGAAAAGGAGCACTGCTACAATAGCAAGAGAGATGAATAACTCAAATTCTGGCCTTATAGCACCACAGCAACTTCTAAAAAGCATCTGCTGTTGTTACATTTCAGATTTATCATAGGAAGTTCAAAAGATTTCAACTTCTAAAAGGTACTACAATGTGCTAATGTTAAATGTTTATTTGTAGTTCCACTGCTTCTGGCAGAGATTTTCTAGTCTGCTCTTTTTCCTCAAATTCTAGTAGCAAAAATTCTTATTAAACCTGATAAATGCAGTTTCTTCTGCCTCAAGGAGATACAAGTAGATCTCAAACGTAGTTTGGGAAAAAAATCCATTAAAAATACATAAATTTAGTGATCTACCATCATGTGCAATCTCCTATTTCAGAAATAACATGTTGATGACAGCAACCAAATCCAGTTTCTCTAGTTTTTATTATACAACTGAAGGGTTGTTTAAAACAAATGAAAACAAAACAAAACAAAAACCCCACAAATAATCCAAACACACACACACAAACACAATTCCATTTCTGTTAGCACCTGTAATTACACAAAATTTTGCAGTAGGAAACATGACATTTTAGTTGTTGTGATAAATTTGAGGATTTAACCTAACATCACTTTGGTATCAAATAACTAATTTGAAATTTTCTATATATAAGGTAATTCTAGTTTCTCTGCAAATTCCCTGGTTTGGTTTCCATGGCTGGAAGTCTCATAGGGAGAGGTAGCAGGACCATGGCTCCTGGGCTTGTTTCAGAGATCTTGGAAATAAATGATTTTGTTGCAGTCGTGGAAAGATAGGTTCTTTCCAACCAACCTTCCTGGGAATATTAATCTTTTTCCTGATTTATGGCAACACTTTTGTGTGAGTGGCAGAGTGTACAAGTCACCTTCTGAGTTCACAGCTGAGTGGAGAAGTGTGAGAAAACTGAAACAGTTTCAGACAAAAGCCAGCATAAATTTGGGTACATTTCTTCCTCCTCTGCATACAGATCAACTTTATGAGTGTAAAATAAAATCCAATGTTTCCTTACCAGTATGATGAATGCATTTCCTTTCAATTTTGGTTATGCTTTCTGTTTCCTACACAAACATGGTTAACTCTGGAAAATAAGCTACCTAGTAGACAAAATAGTGATATACACCAAAATAATTTAGAGAATCTTTGTATACATCATCTAACATCACAAAGTGTGAAAGATTTTGAACATATGAATGAAGAGAATTAATGGGAAGGGAATGAATGAAGGAAAAATAGGTGTTGCAATATTGTATGTTGTACTGCATGGGCCCTTGTATTTCCTGATTGGTAACTTGGGACAGAAATAGGGGTGAATTCTTGCCCTGATAATTAAAAGATTTGGGGAAAAAATAGTCCATCTTTAGGACTGACAAAACAATGGAAGCAGTTTCTTAAGTAGCTACATTTAAAAACCAGCAATGCTCTATGAATTTTCAAGGGTCCCACAGGAGAAAAATCTAGTCTAACAAAGCAGAATGAATACTCTGAACAGAAAAGCCATGTATGCAGCAAGATTTAAATCTAATCCATGCTCTCCTGATTTCAGACACAAAGCACCTTCCCCTAAGTGCAGATTAATGTTGATAGGAACATGGCAAAGGAACACTGGTGATAGAACATTGCCTTCTTCAAAGGTGCAACTGGTTATACAAACAGGAAGTTGTGCAATGAGGACACAGAGTTCTGAAACACACAGCTCCTCAGTGATCAGCTGCTGGAACCCAGAAGCCTGAGAGTTTTGAACTTTCTGTGCTTTTTGAGAATGACCCCCAAGGGAGCACTGCTTTTGACTTGAGGCCTTGGAGAAGGCTTCCAAATTTGAGTGATAGAGTTGAATAGAAGTGAAGGGTTTGCAATTTGAAGATTTTAGAATATTTGGTGTCCATGCACTTCAACTGGACTGACTCTGCCTTACCACCCTTGGGACTGATCCAGGACTTGGTACCTGTTCTCTAAGGGCACCTGGGAAGGTGATGGAGGTCAAGAGGGAATTTTATTACCCCTTAAGTGTAGGGCCCTTTTCATTCTCCCCCATCTGCTAGGTCCCCTACTTCTGCTTGATGCTAAGTGCCATGGGGCTCCTCTGATTCCTGTAGGGCTTCTCTCAGGGTTGGAAGGGTGTAACTCCAACAGTCTATTTCCCTTTCCCTTTCCCCAATACTCCTTAGCCCTTCTACTTCTTCCTTAAGCTCTGCCAGCAGAGCAGATCATTCACTGCTCACACTGCACACAGGTGTGTCCTGCACTATCCTCTGACACCAGCAGGCTCAGACCCTCCCTGCAGCCCGGGGCCTGGACAGCTGTGTCCTTCCTGGGGGGATTCTGCTTCTTGTGCCAGCAATGGCTTTTGATCATTTGAAAACTATTGCTGTGAAAATAGAGAGGGGATAAAAAAAACCCCACAACCCATCACCAGGACAGTGGCTGCAACCCTACCTGTGCTAACTGCTGAGCAGGATTTGATGCAGGAATAGCAGCAGAGGTCTTGACTGGCAAAGTATTAATACAGAGACTCTCTGCTTTAGGATAAACTGAACAAACTTGACTTTTGAAAGTAATATATACATTACTTTCTAGATATAGAAACCAATATACCAGGTATCTTTCTCCTTTCTTTTTTTTTTAAGATTACAATAAAAACAATTATGGTGATAAACATAAATGTTTCAAATTTAATTCACTGTTACATTGCAATTACATAGTGTGCTTTTTATTTGTTTAGAGAGTTGTAATTGTAACTTATAATGTATTCTCTAACTAGGCTGGATGTTTGAACATCCTCTGAGTTTCTCAACCTTCTACCCTATGGTCACAAGAAAGTACTTGATGGTAACTGTACACTTGAAATAATGCTTTTAATTCTTCCAAATCTAATTATAATGGACTTCAAGTTGAAGGAGTGGTACAGCCTCAAGTAAGCAGAACACAGAATACTTGGGTTACATTATAGAGCAAAAAATGAAATACAAATAGTATTTAAATATTATTACAACTAGTCATAATTTTCCAGGTAATGATGTAAACATGATGATCTGGCAGATATGCAATGCACAAATACAATGGAACAAGACACTAGTGAAAATTATAATCATGATCTATATTGTTTTTTAAAAGTTTCTGAAGATAATCTATACATAAGTCTTTCATAAAGACACTGACACAGATTAACTATTTTTCTCATGAAAAAACCCCCAAACATTTCACAACAGACATTTAGCTTAGAAACACTGCTTACCTTAACTTTTTCTTCCAATCTTCCTAAGCGTAGACTGCCTTCTATGATTTTCTTGAGAACACCATGATTCTCATTTTCCAAACATCTGGCCTGCAACCATGCAATAACAAAGCTACATGTAACCATTCTGTTTGTTTGTCAGGGCACACAAAATGCACACACTGAGGGAGGCACAGCAATTCCATTTTGAACTCCAACAGTCTGAAGAACCAACATGGATAAATAGTCTTGGAAATTATTCTCAAAACAGCTCATTAATTATTTGTCAACTGCCTGTGAATACTATGAAGCAGTATTATTCTGAAATGAAACATAGAGCAAAGCCAACCAATTCTGTGGTTTTTTCTACAGATATGTTTGTGTATACATAGGAACCCCATTTTTATCATGAGACATCCTTTGGGTCACATTTAGCAATCTGCTCTCAAACAAGCCCTTGAGATTGGCAGGGGTTCAGAGGCAAGGATATTTCTAATCTGGTATGCTTAATATTTAAAAGCAGATATCCCAGAGATTGAGATCTAAGAACCAGTTCCCCCAGTTTCTAGGAGACATTTATTATAAACTGGCATTTATTGTAGTGGACAAGGATTTGACTTGTGTCACCATAGCTCCTCTTCTAGAACTAGGAATTAACTGCTGTATATTTTTATCCAATGCTGATGATCACCTGTCTGCTACCTGAACAACGATAAAAGAAGTTTTATTTTAACAAAGTTTTGTGAAATTATTTCAGATTCAATTTGAAGACAAGAGTATGAATATGAAAAATTGAAATTGTGCCCAGTATCTTGTAAAAGAAACAAAATGGGCTTACAAAAATCCCAGACACCTCCATGCTGGGCACTTCCACTGATCAGAAGTTGTGCCAAAACTCTCAATCAGCATGTCAAAATGACTGCTAACCAATAAGGAGCAGTCACATTCATATGCATCCACAGCAGAAGGTCCATACAGACCCCTTCAAGGGTGACAGTCCACCCTTAAGACTCAAAAACAAACATTAAAATTTTATGATTGTGTGCTATTTTTAAATAGATGTAGCTCAACATCAACTTCTAAAACTAGGTTAAAAAGAATCTTTTAAACTTGGTAAGTGCCATTGCAGATCCTAATGCTCATGTGAATTAAGGCTTAATTATATTACCTCCAGAAGTAAGGGTAATTGCTTTTAATTAAATCTTTCATTGCTCCTATCCTATTTGCTGAAGTCTACCTATATAAAGCTAAATCCTTAAACTGGAATTACAGCTTTATTCTTTGATAATTAATTTGATAACTCGTGTCAGTAGCATGATAATTGTGCGAAATATCAATTAAGTCATATTAATTATTTAAAGGTAATTACCAAAAATACCAGATGATCACGTTCCTTAGCTATTCTCTCCACCAGCCCAATAAGGTTTGTTAGATAGTGATGGGCTGCAACTTCTTTTTCCATTGCTTCCTCCAGCTGCAGCTGCAAAAGCCCTATTTTCTTCTTTAATCGTCTATAATAGAAAAAGGAAAAATCATTGGATTGGGAATTAGTAATGGCCTGAAAAACCTTGTATCACATGTGCAAATACAAGTCTCAAACAATCATACATACTGCTAAAAATGCACTGGCTTAGAATATTTGCAGTGCCAACACTATCATGTTCCAATTTGGGGGGCTATTTCTTCTTTATAATATGTTATCTGAATAATAACAGTAACAATCATTTAAAAGAACAGTATGTGCAATGCCTACAAGCTCGTATTTCTTAAGTTATAGAAGAATAATATTGTCTTTTTAAAATAATGTGAACTCATCTCTAAGCAACCAGGTGCATGAGAAGATCTGCAAATAGTGCAAGTTTTACCTAACTGAAAACAGAGTATGTCTGCTCATTTAAAGATAAGTACACCTAATGACTAATTGCTATAGGTAACTACTAAATTAAAGATACATTCTTAATTTGCACATAGACACAGAAAAGTGAGCATGCAAACATACAAAGGTTAGCAAACTGGACAACCAGGCCTCTAGACATGACAAAGATGTGTTTAGAAACATGTTTTTTTGCAGTAGGTAGAAAATACACATTATGGGAAGTTAGACAATATTTTTACAGATATTTATGTTGTTTTTAGAAATAAAAGTATTTCTGTAGAAAAAATGAGACTGATAAGACCTGTTTGTCTTTTGAGTCATTTGCATGTCAGTTTCCAGGATCTTCTTGTCAGCCATGAAGTTATTTTTCTCTAAGAGCAGTTTCTTGTTTTCAGTTTGCAGTGATGCTATCTTTCCCATTGCAGCTTCCACCTCAGAGTGCTTTTTCTCCTGTTCCTGTTGTAAAGAGCTGCAAAAACCAAGTGTAGAACAGATATCATGTATAGATCTACATCAGTAAAATGCTAAGTTACAGAAAGACACCCATGTTGAAGCTATGAAATAAGATACACTAAGAATGCTCAGTGTTCACTGGTGACATCAGAGGTATTACAATCTCATATCAAAATCGTGACTGAATTATTCAAGTCATTCCTTCTGACTGCACTTTATAAAAATACATAGTCCAGATGTAATCCCTTCGTGGGTTTTCATTCCCAAAGAAATTACTATCTACACCAAAATTCGAGGTTTGAGGATTTCTGAGCATGGCACTGTGCCATGAAATAGTAACTGCACTATCCAAAGGCTTGAAAGCATTCAAATGTACAGGAAGTCTTGACAGAAACACTGCTCTGCAGATTATGCTGCACAGCAGCACTTCTGAGTTGTGCCATTTTGTGTCGTTTCCATACTGTAACAACTGAAAAAACTCAGAACTTCTAGTTCAGAATTAAGAGGATTCTTTAGACATGTTCCAAAGATGTGAACACAAGAATGAGAACATTTTATACAGTATTGATAGAAGTAAATAGATTAGATAAAAATAGTATTTTTAATGCCTCCTCTTCTATTATTTAAAATGGTACAATTAGTAGTAGGTACTCTATGGTAAAAACACTTCTACCAACATTTCTAGAACTGGGATTTCCTTTCATAATTTTAAATATCTCTAAAACTTAAGCCAGTATTTTTTAAATAGACCTTTCCCTTTCTTTGTGCTTTGGTAGTTACCTTCCTGGATTAGCAGCATAGGTTTCCACCGGCCTCCCACCTAGAGAGAGCAGCTCTGGTCACATGCATGCTTTGCACCAGTGCTCCTCCATGCAGCCCATGGAAGCTCATACCTCTTCAATTCAGTCACCAAAGCCAAGTGCTCCTCTGCTGTTATTCTGCTGTCCAGTTTGCCTTTCAGCTCTTCACATGTAGAACACAAAGCTTCTAGCTGCTTCTGGTACTCTGTTATTTCTTCCTTTTGACTCTGCTTCTTATTTTCTAAGACTACTATTTGTTTGGTCAACTTTGAAGCTTTTGGAAGAAGGAAAAAAAAATCAATTGTGTATAGTAGAACTAATTCAACCACTAAGTGAAACTGCAACAAAAAAATTAATACATTAATTCTTAGTTGTTTAAAACATTATGTAACAGAGGATTTGTCAGTTTGTGTTTTAACAGTTTGGACTTCATTTTTTACTTTCTCAAGCAACTTGTTTTGGAAAAGTGCAGAAACTTCAAGAGTACTTCCTTTCAAGGCTTTAAGCTCATTGAAATGTCATTTTACTCTGAAAAATTCTGATTCAGTTTAAAGTGCTCTTTGATTATGCAAATGACTGTATTGCTGTTTAACATTTCTTCTCACTGTTTCAGAAGAAGTAAGTCAAAGGAGTATTTTTAGTGTCAGTAGGTGATAACATTTTTTTAAGTATCAGTTGACATCCAGAGCTTGATCTCCTATTAATGTTACCTACATTCCAGGATGCTTTTCAGGTATATATAAAGTTCCAACAAAACCCCCAGCTGACCAAAACCAAAACTCTGCCAAGCTTGCCAAAACAAAAAAATGACAATAGAAAACAGAAAACCCTACAAAAATCAAAACCTGCAGTACTTTCTTTAGTGTAGTTCAGATAACTAGCACCTCAAGCATTTTACCTTCTTGAACATGCTGTCTGTGACTATCTTTTGCTTTAGCTTGTTGAATTTTGAGTTGCTCCATCAACAATCCATTTTCTTCCAAGACCAGCTTGGCCTGAGTTTGCAGCAGCTGCCTGCAATGATAACCAGCTTGTAAATAAAATATGAATCAAATGTTATGTCCAAAGAACAAACACACTATTAATTTTCAATAGCGTAAACGTACAAAATCAAATTTGAACCTCTTTAAAAAACAGATTAAAAATCCTTATTGAAAGCAATATCAGGACATGGGGTCACCAAATCTATAGATACCAACACCTGTATTTCTGCCTCATTGAAAGTAGGTCTATGCCACTGGGTGAATCTGCAGAAAGACTTAAGATTAGGATGCATGCTGTCTCTTCCAAATTCCTCCCCTTGTAGACACTGGGTTGTCTGAGCCCTTGCATGCAACTACTACCTGAGCCATGGGTGCAGAAAGAATCTTTATGTTCACTCATAGTGGATGCTGTTCCAAAACCTCTTACACTGGTTAGGAATTCTCTTCCATGTCCCACTTTTAAATCTGTTTATGGTGAATGAATATCCAGCTGTTGTTCTAGTAACACTGTCCCAAGTACCATAATTGCAGCAGAATTTTTTGTATATGCCATGTCTCCTGTTCCTGCTGCACATACAGAGAGCAACACTGTCCTTTTCCAGCCTTTGCAATATCTGGGACACAATTACAGGGGCTCCCAGTGCAAAACTCCACATTCATATTTAATCTTTACTCCAAAATTATTCCAGGCATTGCAGATCAGCATTGCTCCAACATGACAATCATGACACTACTGTTTCTTTAAAAAAACAATGTTAGAAGACAAAAAAAATTTCCTTAAGATCCGTAATTTTAAAAGTTTGCATGAAATAACCAAAATCATTTTTAACTTTTAAATTAATTTCTAGTAAAATAACTTGCCATTCTGTAGGGGAAATGGAGTTATTTAATTGCTCATGCAGATCTTCATTCTCCTTCACCAACTCTTCAACTCGTGCTTTAAAATTCTTCATATCCTCCTGGAAGACAAAGGATTTAATATAAAATTCTTTATAATTATATTTTGCTTTAATTTTTACACCAAGAAAAATTTTTATAAGTACACATGCTTAGGTGCCTTCTAGTTCTTGTTGTAATAGAACAGAATAGTAGTCTCACTAGTCATTCATTTCTAATTCAGGTCTGCATACTGGATTTCTAAATTGTTTCATTAATCTAGTAATATTTGATTAAAAATAATCCTGATATTGTGCCACATTTTTGTAAGTCGTAGATCCTCAGAAAATAGGTTTAAAAAACTGAATTATGGAAATTACTGGATGATACAATCCATTTTCAGTAGGATTGACATGGATTTGAACATGGTAAGACAATACAGTGAATTAACAGAAATACAAAAAACTCTTGCTGTTTTCTGGAAAGTTGTACTCTGAAGCAAATAGCTATTTTTCAAAGATTCAGTGACAAAAAATACTTCGAAAAAGCAAAAAGAATAACCATTCTTTTAATACCTAGAAGTAAATATTATTCTAGCCCAAAACCCACAAGCAGCTCCAAGAGCAGCTGTACAGAGCACTGAGTTCCCATTAGGAATGACAGTCATAAATGCTTTCTACCACTCACTAGTTTATGGTTTGCTCCATTTTTAGAGCACATCTTACTTATCTCTAAGTGTGAACAGGCTGACAAATACAAGTGAGCCAGGTAGGATAAGACAGCACAATAATTATGCATGGAAAAGTAAAACCAAGTCACTTTAAATTTTAGGCAGACAACTGGCAAATCCCTTAAAAAAAAAATCAGTAATTTCTTTCTGCTTTAGTGTATATTTTTTCTAAATGGCAACTTGCCTCATGTTCAAGAATAAAATCTTCCTTTTCTCTTATTCTATCTTCATATGCCAACAGAAGAGGTGACAAATACTTCATATCCAACTTAAAAGAAAAATTAAAAATAAATACATGTAAATTAATTACAAGCCATAATTTCATCTGTATTTTTTATATCAGCTATAGATTTTTAGTTTTGAAAGCTGTTAAAGGGGTTTCATGTATGACTTGCAGACTAAAGTGCAGGACCTGAACAAGCATGCAGACCACCATATGCAGAACAATGCTGCAGAAACAATTCATTAGGGCTGTGGTAGCAGCAAGCTTTGGAAAGGAAAAGAATGCATGCTTCACTTGCTTCTGTCTTCTAAAAGGCAGCTTTAACTTATTGCTATATGTTACAAGCAGAATATGGATGCCAATGAACACAAATCAAGATTCAAACACTACAGTGAGTACTACTGCAAAAAAAAATGATCCCAAATTCATTAGTAAGTGAGAAAGGAATTTTTACACTCTCAAATCTGCATCTTTAAGACTAAATACATACATGTGTGATTATTGGCTATTTTGGCTAAAAAGAGCAGGAGAACTTTCCCATTCTGTATAGTTCTCAGTAACAGTGAGGAAGGAAAATATAAGATCTAATTAGTATTTCAAGGAGAAATTGTTTTACGTATTACAAATGCATTCCCTTTCAAAGACTATTTGGTTTTCAGAAATTCATAGGCTATTACTGGATCCATGACCATTTCTACCATCAGAAATATTGTTTTATTTTAGTGGAATCTTAAAAGAACAGCAAAAGATTGACAATTAAGATTAACAATAAAGCAATAGATTTTGAAGCAAATTATATGCTAGAAAATTCTAAGAGAAGATGGCATTTAGGATTCTCAGTGTAACAAAACTTTTCAAAAGTTCAAAGTTGGTGACCATGTGCAGTTTGTAGCTTACTGCACATTCAACTGGAACTGCACACATTCATTACAAAGTTCTGCCATACATATTTTTCTTCAACAAAAGAAATATTTATAATATTCTATTAGTATGTGATAGTTCAGCAGAGTAATATCTGAATACTTTGATTCCAGCAAAGAAATTCCACTACTTTACTTAGAGAGGAATGAACACTTAAGGGAAAATCTTGTTTGACTTACCAGCCATGGTGGTTGTGGTCCTTTCATGGGTAAGCCTTTCAGCTTTAGATTCTAGAGTAAATATTTTAAAAGATACTGACATTACTTCCTGCTTTTTGAAGCACCACCAACTGTCCACTGCAGTCACAATTATCACCCAGACAAGTTTATGTTGTTATTACATATGTTGTATATGTAACACACACCCAACAGAACTTAAAGTTCAGTATCTTACTGATGCAAAGTAATACTGAATTCTTAATATTAGACTTAATGATAAATGCTTATTTTAAATTCTTTTAAATTTCAGAAAAAGCCTGTGCCAATTGGCAGACTTTATGGCAAATTTGGAGAAAACAGTCATAAAAACTCAAAGATTAAATAAGAGACAATGGGACACATCAGTAGAAACTGCCTTGATAACCAAGATTCTCACCTCTTCCTGGGACAATGGCCTGAATTTAGTTTGATAGCGACTTAATTCTACATTTAAACGATGGACCATCATTTTCAAAGCATCATTTTCATCTACCAGCTCTTGTGCTTGTTGTCTGAGAGAAAATAATTCTGTTGCCTCCTCTATTAAAACAAATACCCAACAAGAAAGTTCCATTAAAATTCAAGAAAAAAAAATTCGAGAAACTGTTCACAACAGTTTGTTAATTGTAACAAAAAAATAAACTAGAATAATAACCAATAACTTTTCTCAAAATACTGTTAGGGAAAAATCCCATGAAAAGCTACTAGGCCATTATATTTCAAACAACAAGTAATTTTTTTTTTTCTTATGATGCACTTATTCCTTGACATAATTTCTACAATTTTTTGTTTGGAAACTACATCTGCATCCATACTTGCTTAAATCAGTAACTTGAAGCCTTCTACTAGAGGAAATGGTTGTAAGAAATTAGAAAAATCAAAACAAGGTAACTACAGAATAGTTTATATGTTTCTCCTACCTTCTCTACGTGAGTTCTCTGCAGCTTCTTTAAGTCTTCTGTTTTCTTTTTCTAGTTCCTTCAGCTTTAACTGCTGTTCTTTCATCTGCTGTTTAGTTCCCTCAAATTGTTGCACCACAGCTTGGTATGCCTTGTTCAGAGACCAGTTTTCTTGTTTCAGTTCCCTCAACTTTTCTTTGTTTATATTTTCCCTTACTTGCCTTGCCCGAACAGACACATCTGTAAAACAAGGTATGCAAATGGTATCCAGACTGGAATAGGAGGTTCAGCAAATTACAACCCATTTTTTCTAATATTAATATTATATATGAGTGACACTTTATAAGATCTGAGTCAGCTCACAGCTTCCAAAGATAAGACCAGAAAGAACAAAAAAAGTGTATCTGTCAAGACAGCTGTGGAGTGGCTGCAAGTTTTCTCTCAGACACTAGAAACATTTTCTTTTCATGTAAAAGATGGTGTCTTTTACAGCAGAGCTGTCTCTCCCAAACATCAGTGACTGGAGAGGTAAAATGAAATGTCCACTGCAATAAGCAAAGTGTTTATGCTCTGCATGGACTAGTCGTTATTCTTGATCCCTACAAATTTTCATCACCCACACAATGAAAGTTTTACATTTCCTTCCTACTGAACAGCTTCAGTGTTACTGAACAATTCTTACAAAAGTAAACTTTTAGATTTTCTGCAAAACTGTGGATATGTTGTTACATCAGTAATAATGGATCTCACTTCCAAGTTTTCCTTTCCATCTGTATAAGTAAATAGCTGAAATGGAGGCAGAGATTTTAACCTTAGCAGCACAACCTAAGAGCATCCAGGCATCAATAAAACTCAGTACAGTTCCTTAGAACAGGATATATATGAAACCCAATACAGAGCTATCTCTTGTACTCATGATGTGTAACAACTTCATGTGTTCAGTTTTATCTCAGGCAATTCTGGCCACTGTTAAATTCCTGTGAAAAGGCATAAGGTACTTGGACAGTACAAAATCCCATGAACTCCTAACAGGCACATATTTCATCATGAGACACACAGAGCTCAGAAGTCCTGTGCCTGAAGTGTCAGGTGGATGCAGAAATACACAAAAAAGCTGATGCTAGACCATGTGTCTCATGACTCTCTGTTTACAATTTCAGTTGCAATAGGATACTTAATAATGGTGAGATCTTCTAGTGTAGATTGAACTTAATGTATTGGAGAGGTCCAATATGACTGATTTCATTACATCATTTCACAATGTTTTATTTACTTTAGACTTCAGGTTGGAAAATAAAAACAAGTCTAAACCACCTAACCTAAAAAGCCTGAAATTACTGTTTTTATACATATCACAGAGCACTTTGGCATCTCTTGTACAGGAAAAAAAACTTACAAACACACACACATACAAATCAGGCTTAGAGAAGACAAGCAGGAAAATGTGTTTTCATATACATATGCATATTAATAAAGTGAAAACGTGTAGTGAAGTCATAGAAAAATCAAAAGTACCTGGGGATGGTGGAGGTTTGTCATGTATCAGATTTTCAGCTGTTAATTTTTCCTCCTAGCAGAGAAATAAAAAATGAGACAATTTGTTTTAACAGCATCACTGCTGGAGAACTTAAGAAATAAAACTTTTGAAGGAGTTTCTTTTCTATCAACAAAATTGAAGGTTGGATTCACTGCTGATAGATAATACATAGCTTATCAAGTCCTCATCTAGACATCATTTTGTCAATTATCACTGCCATCAGTCACATGTGGACACCTGAAACTCACTTTTTTCTTTAGTAGTCAGAAATGTACAGCTCTCAAAACAATTTTTTTACAGCTGACATAAAAGTCACATAAACACAAAGCTTCTTGAGGAAACTGGAAGGGTGTTCTTCCCACTTGTGCAGTTTGTATAGAGTAAGACTTTAGACTAGTCAATTATGGCAGTCCCTGGGTATCAGTAAATCAATTAAAATCTTTTTCAAAGTGGAAGAACTTTGTTCTTGCTTTGCTGGAAAAAAACACAAGTATTTGTACATTTTCAGAAGGTTCCTTCACCAGGAAAGAATTATAATGTCATTTATGCTAATGTATTTACTTGTGGTGAAGGTGATATATAGACTTTCTCCATGTTTTTATAAAACAACAGTGAAGTTTTGTAAGGATTTGCTGCCATGTAATTTAACACATTGATTATACTGAGTGACACCAGTGACTAAATGAGACAAAACTCATGAATGATTTCAAAGAAAAATATATGTGGTTAAGAACTTGTAGAAAAAAGTTATGATAACAATGGAAGAACTGACCATTTTTATAAACAATCTTCTGGAAAGCTGATCTAAGAAACTAAATTTTTGGGTATTCCTTTTGAAGCTTATGAAAGTAGTCAGATCAGCTCAAATAGAAAACTATAGCAAAAAGCAGTAAAGTCAGGCTCAGCTCAGTATGAGTATCTCATATTATTATAAAAACCCCAAACAACTTTGTATGGCTCATTTACCTATACAGTCGCATTTTTTCAAAAGGAATGATTAAACATTCTTGTACTCCAGAAGAAAAAGATTCTATAGTGGCAATGAATTAGTTTTCCTAAATGCATCATAAAGGAACCTTTGTATAAGTCTTACCTTTAAATCCAAGCCCAGATTTTGGTCTTCTGCTAAAGAAAAACAGATCTTTCAGTCAATTAGAACAAAAATTATTTTAAGTCCATAAGTTATAAGAGTTCATAAGGATATGTATGCATACGTGTTATACATGGAAATAAATGGAAAAAAGTCCTTCCCAAACCACAGATTAAATCATTAACTTTCCATTAACTCTTTCATGGTGCATCAGGACACTGATGTGAGACCTCACTTCACCTCACACTGGACAGGTGCAAGTGTGGAAGAAATGAAGGTGTTTTGTTGGCTTCTGTTATAAGTTTAGAATTTGACCAAAGAACAAATGAAATATTTGCATTGATTTTCCTGGACTCCAATCCTATGGCATCCCTGAACAAAACAAGTGTAATTCTGACAGCTTGCAAGACCTGCAGCACTTACTATGTAGAAATTATTAGAAACAGTGCATATATCCCTATATTTCTTCAGTTTAATGCCTTCACTTCTCAAATGGTTTTATCAAAGCAACCATTCTTTCTGAATATTGCTCTCTATAAAACTTTTTAAATTACTCCACTGAAATAATACTGAAAAAATGCTGGGATTCAACATGAATAAAATTTAGAAAGACAGAATTTTTCCAACTTGACTCAGTTTTGCTTCCTCTTTCCTATCCACTAGCTACAGAGTGGGAGATAAGAAAAATCTTATAAAATAAAGGCCTTGCAGGCCTCTGTCCACTTCTGTTCATTTCTGCCACTTCTGCTCACCAGAAAACACTCTGGGAAAGCTTCAGTTAATGGGACAGCAAAAACCAAGTTACACAACCTAAAAACCAAGTTATATAACCAGTGTGTGGTCATCTCGTGTTTGGGATCCCAACTGGTCCAGGGTACACGTGGACACTGCAGGATCAAAAAGGTGACTGGGTAAAGGAAGGTGTGAACAGCAACACCTGCAGTGGCAGCCCATGCTTGTTTCAGCTGATGACAATGCAAACAGGTAATAAGACTTTGGTGTCTGAATACAGCATCAAAAGGCCTGGTTTTTCACAATAAACAATTTTCCTTTGCAACTGCTAAGGGGAGTCTCTGTTTTTCATTCATCATTGCTACAACCATCCTCTGTAAAAACTGCATTTTCCAGCTCTGAAGCTAATTCTTATTTCCCTTTTTCCTGATTTTAAAATAAAAGACAAGATAATTATGCAAGAAAACTGCTAAACCAGTAGATTGGTCTTGCTCTATTGTTATAATATTTTTCTCCACAATATTCTGTTGTTACAAGAAAATAACCTAATGACAGCTCCAGTAACAACTCAAATGTCCCTAATGTAATGAAATTACTTATTATTTGTGAAGTTTAACAATTCAATGCTTAGGTTGATAGCCTGGGACTGATGATCATGTTTATTTCTCTGTTCTGAAGAAACATCCTGACAGCAATAATGATGCAACTTCTGGAGAAGGTATAAACAACAGTACTATCATACCATTTGATTATTAAAAAAACTGAAGAAGTTTTTACTACTGTTTTTTAGACATGGCATTTTTTCATACAAGTAGAATAACTGAATAAAAATATTTTTCTCTATCCCTAGCTGGTTTTTTCCCCTCGAACACTGCTAGTTTCTATAGTTTCTACTTTTTTCCTTTTATTTTTTGAACACAGTAACACTCCCAAAAGTTCCAGATTATAAACCTGACTGCTTCTGGCACATACATCAACAAAATCATAGCAGAGAATGACTGTATTTTACAAGACAAAAGTTCACAAACTTTTCTCCATGTTCCCTCATTTTACAGTGGCTGAGAGTTTGTTTCACAGTGATTATAGACCTATCTATCCTCTTTATGCAGGTTTTTAATTTTCTGTAACTATTAGAAATTGTGAAGCATTTAGTACATTTCTTTAACTGCCCTTTCAAAGAAGAAATATATTACAATATAGTACTATATTTATTTTATTTAAAAATTATTTTTCCCAATGGTATTAAAAGGCATGGCATTTTAAAGTTACTTTACTTACCTTCTATGTGCACATTTGACTTATCCACCACCACCTGACACTCAGTTTCATGGGAAGAAACTTCTTTATTTTCAGTATTAGGAGAAGGAGATGGTGGAAACTCTGCCTATGCAAAAATAAGATAAATCTCTCTAAATCCTGAGATCACTGTGAAAATAGCCCAGGTACCTTGATTCTGTATGACACATTTAGCATGTTAATGTCCCAGCCACATTCAGAATTGTTCACTAATATTTTAAAATAATAAATTGTAAGATTTGCTTTTTCTCTTGATGTTGGTTTCTTGGGGTTTTTTTGTGGGGTTTTTTGTGTTGTTGTTTAGGGCTCTATGTAAATAAAATCTAAACCTTACAATGATCAACAGGAGGTTAGCAGTATGAAGTGATTAATTCACATGGCAATTATTCTCTGTCAACTTCTTTGGTTACAAGAGTCTGTGAAATTATTTTCTGTGTGCTTGTTTGCTGTGGCATAAATAATCTTGATCATCCACCATTTATCTACCACATCACAGCTGGGAGTGATTAATGAATCATTTTTAACATTATCCTTGCTGCTTTTCCCATTGATCACACACCAGTGTTTCACACATTCCACTCACTTTCTTTTATCTTTCTTCCCCTTCCCTCCTCTTACCAGTTATTGTCTCTACACCTTGGGGTGTTTTCTGGATTATTTCACATTTTGGGATTTGGGTGTATATTCTAAGACTGATGCTTCTACTTCACTAGTCCTGGGTTTTTTTTGAAGAGGTATTTTTTTAAGAGATCTTTCATTGCCTTTTTCCTACTCAGGTACTTCTTCCTGTTTGTTCATTTTTGATTTAACTTTAAATGTGCCTTAGGAGTATTAAGTTCATTGCTGGTTAAGACAATCCAAAATTATAGTAAACAAAAATTCCCTGGTCTTCAGGAAAAAGTCAATTTTTTTGGTTAGATTCTGATTCTCCTCATTTCTATACATGTCTGTGCTCATTATCACAATACTGAACCATTAACTAAGCTTTCACCATTCAACAGTAAAGTTACTAGTGCTTTTAACAAATCATCTACTATGTAAGTACCATGCTCAATATAAATTATTGGGCATTTTACAAGACTAAACTATGCATGATAATTATATACAATACCAGTGTGCTCCTATTAACAAAGAGAAAGACTCTGTGACAACCAACAAACCTAATTCATGTCAGAGTAAACGAATCACAAAGATTAGCATGTGAAATAAATATTGAATACATGTCTGCAGAGTAAGAAGAGAATACAAAGCACCTGAAATATTAACGTGCATTAATATATTAAAATATGGTAAAGGAACTAATGCATTTAAAAATCTTACCTTTTTAGTTTTGCAGGGAACAGCATAAATAGCATTGGTGCTAAAGCTTCCTTCCCTTTTCTCATTACTCTGACAGCTGGACTCTGCCTCTTTATCAGCATCTGAAATATATGTATCCATGTCCTCATCTTCACCATAATTGCCTGATATTTGCAGGGACTGTACAGGAGATCTGTCACTACCATCAAGTTTCCAGTTAGTTCTGTAAAAAGAAATGTAATGCCTGTTTCAGTGCTGCTTACTCTTCAAAAAAACCCAACACTAGTGAAGTAGAACCATCAGTCTTACAATGTATACAAGTCCAAAGAGACAGAAGGACATCTAAGCTTCTGTTAGCTGCAAACAAGGAACGTAGCTGTCTTGCTTTCCAGCCAAATTTCAGGAGAAAATGCCCTGCAATGAGTGCTTCCTCTAGAGAGAAAGGGCTTCAATAACTCCCTTTTCAATGAGAGAAATGGATACCAGGGAGTAAAAGCGAAAAAAACCCTGTTTATTAACCAAACAGTTTTCTTTAGAAGTGTAACATAAGCTAATAAAGTGTCTTTGTAATAAGTCTCTTATTGTCTTTTATTAAACCTTTTATAATCTACCAAAAAAGCAAACCTCGTTTTTCACAGGCAGCAAGCAAGAGGCAGTAGAAACTCTGCAGCTGTAGCTGAACTTTTTACCTCCTGGAAGGGAGGGGCAAAACAGCGACAGTGCAGCAAAAATCCCCGGAGAGACAGCCGGGGAGCAGCAGCAACGAGGCTCCAAAACACGGCAGAGAGAGAGAGAGAGAAAGAGAGAGAAAGAAGCAGGCAAAACCCCCAGGAACAGCAGGATCCCTGGTCAGAGATAGCAGCTGTGTGTATGGGCTGGAAATCCTCTGGAAATCCTGGCTCTGCTCCCTTCCATAGCGACAGTCCAGTCTATGTGTACACTCTGAAATAAATAATTAATACTGGTACTACCTTTTCCTCTCTATCTTAAAATACTAAGTTGGAGATAGAAGGTTCCTAACTCTACCAAAAAGACAGTTTGAAATAATCGTTTTAGCACAAAAGAAATATCTTGCATGTAATCCAAATCACATTCTGTAAAACAGATCATCAATTGACAGAAATAGTATACGATTTTACTTATGACTGTTACACAATCAAAATCTGCCTCTCTGAAGATTGTATGTGTGACACCACTTCACAAGAAATGGAATAAGGATTGTTAGACACTTCAGACTGAATTTATGATGTGGTAAGAAAAAAGTAAGTAGCTGTAACAGCAGGAGTCTGCTGTCACTCTTTAGTAGAATTGATCATTGAGAGACTCCATTTCTAATTTAAGGTATCAAACCAGAAAGCATACACTACCCTATCCTGAGCTCTGAGACTGCTGCATATGGTTCAAAAGATTCTTGTTCCAAGTAGGTGGAGTCACTTTCAGAGAGCGATCGCTGCCGGGGCTGAGGAACAGCAACAGTGCGGCCTGTGAGTGCTGTCACAAGGATGGCAGCTGCTAGAGCAGACCTGCAACAAAACACAGCAAAGCAATGAAGCACTTCTGATGCCTTCTCTCTGCTCCACATTTTATACCTTTTCCTTTGTAAAATGTCTTCACTATTTAATGAAAGCAAAACGTTCACAATTAACAAGTGTAAATACCCCTGGGTTATAAACTATAACATCCCAAAGTAAAGCACAGAATGGGGCAAGCTACTGCAATGCAGCTATCCAAGAGTAAGGCACAATATCTATTGGTTTTCCCAAATCATATGCATGAAAACCCTGGAATGTGCTGAGCTACCTTCCCAAAATTCACATCAATAATTTACAGTATTTGGCATTTATTTTAGCCATAACAATACTACCTGTTGTTGTGTTGAAAAGGTCTCCCATGTCTCCATTTAGTTTCCATTATTCCCTACTCTAAACCTTTTACTGATGACTCTGAAGTTGTTAATAAATGTTGGCAAACTGCAAACCAGGACAAGCAAACAAAAGTGCCTATTTGTGTGATGCTGTGGAGTACAGAGAAGGGTATGATGAAAAGGGAAAATAAGTAGTAACTAAGATTAAAGAAGTGAAATGTTGAGAACTGTAAAATGAATGACAAGAACTTGAGACCAAAAAGGAAAAAGAAATTAATTAGAATTAAGTAGGAATGTTACAGACACTAGAAAGACCATGGAAAACAACCAGAATTGAACTAAATGTGGAAAAAACATAGAATAAAACTGTAAGAAACTACAACTTAAAAGGAAAATAATTTGCATTTTCCTAATCCAGCATGGTTTCACATGCCAGTTTTTAAAGTCCCTGGTATGTAGCAAGGTTTAATTTATGGTTTTCTAACGAGCTAATATTTCCTGACTCACAGCACTAGTGCTGCTGTAGTCCTACACTCTATTGTAGCAGCCAAATTAAAAATTACACTAACTTTAAATAGTCCATTCATCTTTAATTGACTCAGAAGTCACATATTCATAACAGATACTGTCCTGAATATTTACCATGCTTAAGAGTGGGGAAAAAAGTTCAGAATGGGGAAATTGCCCCTCTTAAAAATATATTCTTTATGAAAAGTTTTGTAAATATTGTAAAGACATGCAATTCTTCTAATCAGGCGTTTCTAATATGCCACAATACCTGACAAAACAACAAAAAAATTAAAAAAAAAGAAGGTGAAAACATACCTGGGCCTTTCTGGAGAAGGGTTTGGACTACGAGGGGGAGGGGTGCGGGGAACTGCAGGTTTAGGAGCTATGGTAGCAGCAGGGACCAGGCCATGAGCTATATGTTTCTAAATGATTTAAAATAAAATTAGTTGACAGTGACTTTAAGGATCACAATGAAAAAAAACCACAGGACTGAATGTGCACAGAAACTAACAATGCAAAATAATATAAAAAGGAAGAACAATTACATGCAATTAATGTAAACAGAAGATTTGAAATGGCATTTAATTCCCCTTAAAGTCAGAACCCATGTAAATCTGGAAAGTTCATTTAACATTTATGAACAGCTGGTCTTGAAGGTTAGAAATGTAATTTACATGAACTCGTGAATGTATGTTTTCTATACACTATATTACAATTTGCAAGAATTCTAACTCATCTTTTTTATGTATCTACAAGAAAAATTGGACTAGAAAATAACTTTTTTTAAAATATCTGAATGCTGCCTCAGAGTAACAATATTAGTCCCTTTCTTCTACAGTTTGTAAATCCTCAGTCATAGCAGTATGAGATGGGAAAAAAAAAACAAACCCCTACCACTAAGTTTTGCAGTCAAAGGTTCAACTTTAATTTAAAAAAAAACAGTACACTTTTTCATCAGCAAGCACAGTACTTTTTCTTCAATGGTCTAACATTAAATACCAGCTCAGAAAAACTGGGACCAGAGTTCCTAGAAAAGTACTGTGAAGGAAACCATATACTGTTTGAAGGGAGCTTTGGAGATTGTCTAGTTCAAGTTCCTGCTCAAAGCTGGGTCAGCCATGAGAGGGTTGCTTGGTATCCCGTCCAGTCATGTCTTGTGACTCTCCAAGCTGGTCCGGTGCTGAACCACCTCACAGGATTTTATTATTGTGTTTAACTAGAATTGTCTGTGTTTGAGGTTGTGCTCATTACCTCTCTAGGCATCAGAAAATACTATGCCATAATAAAGTCCATCACCTTCGGGCAAATGTTACCCAACAGGAGAATGAATATCTCAATTGAGTATTTCTGTTTTCACACGAAGGCACAGCAGATAATCAAATGGTGCATTAAAAGACTTTCTTCTTACCCAGTCTTGCAAATGCACTGCTCCTTAATTCTGCATATCTGTCGGGCATGCACCATTTCGTTTACTACAGGCTGTTGTAGATACGACTATGAATGACGCTACTACAACTAGCAGGGAACACAGCTGAACTAAAAGCCATTCCACAGTAAAAGTATGACAACAACAGATCAACACTTTCATTCTAGTAATAATAAAAAAATCCAGTAAGTTCAAGAACGCTGGAAAGGAACACCCGCACAACTGCTGACAGCTTTTGTCTGCTCTGAGCCTTCGATCAGAGCTTTTATCAGTTCACTTGACAGCACTGAGCGAGCGCTTCGAGGATCGCCTCGGCAACCGCTGGGAGCAGCGATCTGATCTGATCTGTCTGATCTGATCGGTCTGATCTGATCTGTCTGATATGTCTGATCTGCCCTGCCCTGCCCTGCCCAGCCCCGCCCGGCCCCGCCCGGAGCTCCCCCGAGGGGCGGGCACGGCACTGGCCTCGCCCCGCCGAACCTCTGCGCTCCTGAAGAAGCGGGGCAGGCCCGGGACTCAGAGAAAGGAACGCACCAGCCCGCAGACACCGTTCTGTCTTTGTTTGGGCTTCATTTTTCTCCCCGATTCACACTTCGAAGCGCTCAGTGATCACCGGCATCAGCCGCAGGGCGCGGCCGCCTGCCCCAGAGACCACCCCTCGTCCCACTCGCGCACAGAACCGCGCTGTCCTGCTTTCCCCGCTGTCGGTAACGAAGCCCCGCGCTAGGCGCAGCGATACTCACGAAGGAGTCCCTCCGGCCTCTCCTGAACAGGAACGCCATTAGGACGGGACAACTCCAATCACTGACGGACGGCCGCTCCCCCGCCGCGTCGGACGCTTCGCCCTCGCGACCCGCCTGGAAACAACGCGGCGGCGGATTGGCTGCGGGCTCGCACTCCTCCAATCAGCACGGGCCTTACTCAGCCCTCGCTCGGCCCTAGCGACCTATCGGTGGCGGCGC